GGGCCAATAGGATTATTAGAGTTTAAAAAGTAGCATATCCGCGGATCGTACCTGGGTGCATCGATTGTCAGCGTAGTCACATAACCAGCTGAGCTATACGGCAGAAGATGTTGTTGTCGAGCATCACACGTGGATACTATAGTGCAGCTACCGTTGGTCATGATCGGACCTGATACTACTGTTGTTGAGTGCCAGGGTCATGGCCCTGGGGCCATGGCCCTACTGGGGCCATGGGCCTGGCCCTACCGGGGCCATGGGCCTGATCCCACTGGGGCCATGGGCCTGGCCTTACCGGGGCCATGGGCCTGATCCCACTGGGGCCATGGGCCTGGCCCTACCGGGGCCATGGGCCTGGCCCCACTGGGGCCATGGGCCTGGCCCTACTGGGGCCATGGGCCTGGCCCCATGAGAGTTGAAAAAAAACTTAATCAGGGGAAGGTCCGAACCGAGAACCTCACGGATCAAAGTCCCATTCTCTGACCAACTCAGCTGAGAATCTCGCTGAAGACGGACCACGGCATAGCTTATGTAAAATGTAGGCTAACGTAAGTCTTAAGCAACATTGATCAGGGGGTCAGGGGGGGGGGCATGCGCTTACTCGAGGCTCAAGCGAGTCAGGGCTAATGGGATTATTGAGTTTAAAAAGTAGCGTATCCGCGGATCGTACCTGGGTGCATCGATTGTCAGTGTAGTCACTTGACAATCGATGTCCGAATGCCCATCCACTACCGCCTGGGATAATTTGCATGAGATGAATTACGCGATATAATACGAGGGACTTCACGAAGCCATCACGAGTAAATCATTTGGCGTGATCCACACTACTACTCCTGCAAGGCAATTGATCAGCGGGCACCTCCGGAGAATCCTCGAGGAAGGCGGTGCTCTTAATTAGTAATTTATCGGCCATAGTTCGCGCTTTCATATTGATTCGCCTATCACCCAACTGCTCCTTCGCAACAGAGAACGTCGACTCTACGGAAGCCGTGGACAGGCTGAAAAAACTAACACCTGCTGCTAACTCTTTTAGGAAGGGGAACTCGATGCACCGGTCCTCCTGCTCCCAGAGAGCGTCATAGGATAGCTTGACAGGTGGTAGCGACCCATAGGCTTTGACATCCTTATCAACACGCTTTATCTTGGCCTCAATTCGGTCCCATCCCTCAAGTTTGCTTTCCGTAGGCTTCTTGAGCATAGAGAAGGACTCGAATCCCAGGCTTCAGCTATCGTCGGAGCTCGCCGGGTCATCATCCCTCGGGTCAAGGGGTCTAGGTGTATGTTCAAAAGCAGGGCCCGCGGGGAACCTTGACTCGGAGGATCCTTCCACCAAGTCGGCATTGCATTCCACCGCCATATCACCCTCTTCCTCAGCCTCCATTTCTTCGTCGACGCACTGTGAGAACAAGCACCACTGCCTAAGCTGTTCCACTAATGTTTTCTTGGTCATAAGACTTCGATTGGGGTTGGAGCTATCTTGACATGCCTTGACGATCTCCAATGCCATAGTCCCCGGTACTCTCAACTTCGGGTAAAGCAAGCATGGGACGATGGGGTCTGATGTTAGCCGTGGAATGACCTAAGTAACAGTGGAAGTCACATAGCGACAGTGGTTGCCTTTCCTTTGTCAGGAAAGAAGCGAGCATAACTTTGCGTGCTTCACGAATGCATGGCGACTCGTCTGACTCGGTCAAAAAGGGCTACCTCCCTGCAGGCGCTAAAGCCCCTGGTACTTTCGACACCTACGCTTCTGCGATGAAAGACATCTTGTCTCGATTCAAAGAAGGTTGGATTACCAACGTAGTGTTGACTACAAGTACCGCTGCGAAACGTCAGGTGTTTCACGATGTAGGCTTCGGTTTTAGAGCCAGCACATTGCAACCTTCTCATGGATACCGCAATATGCCCGCTAGAACTACCGCTTATCTTCCGACCTACTGGATAGGAATCGACAAGTCTGGCCTCTTCTTGTGGTCAGATGCGGGCAAACAGTTCAAACTAGTGAACGTCAAAGGTGACGGGAACTGCTTGTTCTATGCCGCTTGCGTTTCTTTACGTCCGTTGCGGGGAAACTACTTATGTTGCTGCCGACGACGTGCGAGCAGACTTCCAGACGCGTGGTCTACCTCTCGACGCCACCTGGCAACAGTATGTCAATGACATGCGATCGCCACGGCGTTGGGATGGTCATGCGGAGATAGAAGCAATCGGTAAAGTGCTTAGGAGGACGGTAGTGGTTATGCAACGTAAACGACCGCACTCCCTGGAGCTGCGTCATACATACGTTGTAGAATCGGATTCAACTACGGAACCCCTATGTCTTTTTTACGATGGCTTATCTCACTCTGGAGATCTCCTGGAAAGCCCTTAGGTTGTTTCTTTCTCGCGACTGTGCCGTGGTCCACGCAGATTTTTGAACGTAGGTTTTATATTATATTTGTATATATTCAATACGGCCCTAGCGGAGTTGAGGAAACCATCGTGACCACCACGGGCAGTTTGATGATCAGATGGAACCTCAAGGTGGCAAGAAGTTTTGTGGCCCGCGAAATTGTGATGACCTTTGCTTGTTTAGGATGTTATGCGAGGGAGAATTCACAAGTGTTCAGTCAGTCTGATGGGCGATTACATCGTCGCCACCGACTCCGCGCCAGGAGTCTCTAAAGACTGTACTATAGGAAATGGTGTAGTCACCATGTGAGCTACACTACCCATTGAATACGTCGGAATACCTTTGAGTTCAAGTATTACGTTGTCGAAGTGGAAGTGGAATAATCGGGGGAAGTGGAACTACGACGATAAAACGTCCATGTTCGCTCGTTTCAAAGTCGTATAAGGATCATTTCAAGGATCAGTGGGATTCGATCTAAAGTTTAGACTAGGTAGAAGTGCAGACAAGGTAAAAGTGTAGACTAGGTAAAGTGCAACCAAGGTGAAAGTACAACCAAGGTGAAAGTGTAGACTAGGTAAAAGTGTAGGCTAGGTAAAGATGTTCCCTCCTCAAAAAGTGAGGAATTGAGGAAATGTAAGGAAGTGCTAGGAAGGTAAGTGTTCCCTCCTCAAAAAGTGAGGAATTGAGGAAATGTAAGGAAGTGCTAGAAAGGTAAGTGTTCCCTCCTCAAAAAGTGAGGAATTGAGGAAATGTAAGGAAGTGCTAGAAAGGTAAGTGTTCCCACCTCAAAAAGTGAGGAATTGAGGAAATGTAAGGAAGTGCTAGGAAGGTAAGTGTTCCCTCCTCAAAAAGTGAGGAATTGAGGAAATGTAAGGAAGTGCTAGGAAGGTAAGTGTTCCCTCCTCAAAAAGTGAGGAATTGAGGAAATGTAAGGAAATGTATACTGTTGTAAGCATCGTCGTTTTGCTAACTCGCGTAGCACACCACCACACGGTGTGCTGGAAAGCCAAGGTCGTCTACCCAACTCCAAGGGAAGCACAGCTTGTCAGCTCACCCCTCCGCCCATCACTTTCTATCGTGATATGGACACTATGCTGGACGGTAAGTATCTTTGCGGTGAGCGCACAGCAACATATTTGGCTTCATCTTCTCAGATCTCCGCAAACACTTATGTCACAATCCCCTCGGGTCATCCTCTTCTGATACTGCTGGGGATAATTCTCCCTTCGAGTACGCGCCTCACTCTTCCAATACTTCTACTAAATTAGTAGAAGTATTGGTTTCAGTAGTACTAATGCAGCCTCAACTTCCAACTTCGACGGCCAGACGTTCTCACTGGCGCTTATTATACAAAAACTTCAACTCCTCGCTTGTCATATTCTCCATCGGTATCAATGTATCATTACTACTACGTCTCGCAATTTAAATCTAACTAGCCTGCCACATATAGTGCCCTCAAGGCGATTGAGGCTCACGGCTCTGCGTCTACTGTCGTGCATGCACTACTGATCTACTGAACATTGACGTATGTTTCTATACCCTATTCATGTAAACACTCACAGTGTTACATGGAAAACTTTCTTGTTCGTAACGATCTATTCACATGAGCGCTACACTCGCCATGTAAAATAGATCATCCGAGACCGTGGCGGGTTCTGGGGTGTTAAACCCGGAGTGGAGGACTCTGGGAAGAAGGGTGAGGAGAAGGAAGATGGAAGAAGGTAAGTCTTGGAGTTTCATGCGAAACAAGGAAATTGGAATTGGAATTTACATTGGAAACATTCCGTACTGTTCGTGGTGGTTTAGATGCGTTTTTCATTATGCATATTATGCAGGGGTTCATGTAGTTTCGGGAAGTAACGTTCCATAGGAGTTGATAGAAATGGATGGAAAATGCTCCTGATGTGATGACATTCACATGGGAAACTAGTTGAAAGATGCGCTATTAGGCATGCAGGAAAATGAAAATTAGCTCTCCCTGGGAACATTATAGGTTTCTGATATCACGGTTGAAACCTCATCACAGTAGGGTTACTCTTATCCTATGCTTAGAGTCGTACACGGCCCTAGCGTCGACCCTACTGGTACCGGAATCCGAGTCGATAATAGTGTCCATGTACATGTGGCTCGCTAGCATTCGATTGGATCCAAGCAAGAATGTATACAGTCTAGGGAGTCTTCATGATGTGTCGGTTACCTGTACGGTATCGGGTAAGGAGTACGCCTTACTCCT